TGGAATTGTGCTGGCAAACTACTGGCAATGTGTTGTGAGGCTTTCAAATGCTTTGCTAAAGTAAATTGAATTAGACAGTAATAAATTGCATAGTGAAACCAGACCATTCACCTAATGAGCTAAAATAAAGGCTATGATGACACCCAGAACTCAGGAAACTGGATATTTACATAGAAATTGTTTGCATTTTTCCCCTCTGGCTTTCACTGCTCTGTTTTTAAAAATTCCAGACCACGCTCTGCAGCCAGTACTTCAGTGTAAAAAATGTAGGCCTTTCTTAGCATAAATGACAGAAGAACTGCCAAGATCAAGTTTAATCAGTGTAATTGTGTAAAATTTGACACTTAAACCTGCAATTACAAAAGAGAGAAGGGTTAAAAAATCTTACTAGATAAACACATTCTTTTCCTGTCCTAGAGAGATCATATCACCGCTAAGTGAACTGAAATCTGTGGGAGATCTGTACAGTAGTTCTAAACAGCAACCATTTGGCTCTTGGCTTTGGGCCGTATTGCCAGGTATTTGGTTTTCCATGGCCAAGAACAGGTTGTTACATCTTAAACTGCCGTTTTTAAGCTTTATTTTCCTTTTTCACAGGACATTAAAATCTGGTGTGTTTTGTGTTGTTGTTTTTTAAATGCATATTTAAACCTAGACATTTTACTGGAAAATTATAGTACCAACAAATGAATGAAAGCAAGAATGCCGCTTCGACAGTTATGTTAAACATTGTGGCTCTCTTTGTGCTGTTATGAATTCTTCAGAAAGTCTTTGCTTTTTAAAAAAAAAATCTCTCCTCTCCCTCCTCCCATCTTCTGTATTTTAAGAGCCCAGTGAGGTTAAAAAACAACACAATTGTGTCAAAAATAGGCAGGAACTAAACCCCACATTGAACTTAAATACGTTCTCATCTGATATTCTAACAGAACAAGAGTAAGGAGAAGGGGGTTATTTCCTGACTTTTGATAGCCAGTTTCGCCTTCTGGGACCTCATCCTAAACTTTCTGATCCTGTTATGCCCCAAGAACACAAACTCCTACCACAGAACTCCTGTCGGCTTCTGGGCCGGCAAGGAGACTCCAGTTCAGGCAAAAAGAGGAAGCTGAATAGGCACGTATCTCATTTCATTGAACTATTATAATAACATAGCGGAGCAGTGATTTTGCTCCAAGTTTGCTTTCATTTATCCTCCCCCCCTTTTAACGGTACTTGTAATGACTCTGTTTTTTCATAGCATGAGCAACTCACAGAAATAGACACGCCACTCATAAACTTGGTCGCCATCATGGCGGTACTTTTTCCTGCCCGGACTCAAGGGATCATTGAATTATGCCCATTATAGTTTTGCCTCCATCTAATGACTTTAAGTACTAGGTGGCTAAGAAAGGCTTACTACTGTGGTATCGAACAAGAAGCCATTCATGATGTTTCGGCCATTTTTGTGAAACTTAAATTGGTTTTGCATTTCCCGTATCAATAAATAAACGGGGAAGCCTAACCGGCTCAAACGTTGATTTCACACCAGGGTGTCCCCATCCCCGTCCCCCATTTCTGGCTTGAACTGACTCTCACAAGAGCCGGTGTGGTTTAATGGTTAGGAGTGTTGGGCCAGTATCTGGGAAGCCCGGGTTCGAATCCCCACTCTGCCCACTGGGTGACCTTGGCCCAGTCATACTTTTTCAGCCTAACCTCCCTCACAGGGTTGTTGTGAGGATGAAATGGCGGAGAGGAGACTGCTGTAAGCTGCTTTGGGTCTCCATTGGGGAGAAAGTTGGGGTACGAATGAAACAAACAAATAAAAGAAATACGTTGCGGACTAAAAGGTGTACTTGACACCACTTGCAAAAGAACATGTCTGTTTGGGACCCACCTGCCGTTTGGAACCGCTGAGCCTGAAACAGTTAGTGTTCCCTCTAAGCTGAGTTAATGTGAGCTAGCTCACAGCTTTTTAGCCTCTAGCCCGCACATTTATGCATGCTGTAACTATATTAAGGCATAAGGTACAATATTTCCTCCTTTGAAGATAAGACATCAAGTCCATGTACTCAGTGTAACTTGATAACTTGATAGGAGTCCACAGTCATAACCAGTGTTCCCTCTAAGCTGAGTTAGTGTGAGCTAGCTCACAGTTTTTAGCCTCTGACTCACAGATTTTTGTCTCAGCTCAGGAGGGACGGCTCCAGAACAAACTAATTTATGCAGTAGCCAACTTGCTTGCTCACAACTTTAATGCCAGTAGCTCACAAAGTAGATTTTTTGCTCACAGGACTCCACAGCTTAGAGGGAACATTGGTCATAACATTTTCCAAACAGCCTTTGCAAAGACGCCCATTCTAGATATTTCGAAGATGCGTTTCCATCGACTTCTTCCGTTTGCCGGCTGTGTGAGTGGAACCTGATTTCAGCAATGTCAGCAGACCACAAGGTTCATAGTGTAAGGACTGAATCATAGGTTCTCCTGTGAGGGCTGTGTCATCCTGGCCAGATGTCCCTGGATGTGCTGGCAAGGCCTCCTTCCTGCTCCCCCCTCCTCCCCCCCCGCTGCTCCTGGCAAGGTGTGCCTGCCCGGTTCCCCCCGGCCTGCCTTCCCAGGCTGCCTCCACTGCTTCGCTGCTGCAGCCCTCCAGCGCGGCTCTGCGGTGCCACAGGGCTTTTCCTGCCCTGCCAACATTTCTCTGGTCACCTGGCCTCGTCCTGGCCCTAATGGCGATTGGGGGAGGGCTCCTTCCACCTCGAGGTCACTGCGGCCTCTCGGCCAGGCCACAGAGCTGCGGGGTGAGTGCAGGGAGGACTGTGCCAGCCCCAGACACGCAGGTGGGTCACAAGACGAGAAGAAAACTGTAGGAATAGGGTGAGATCGGCTTGATGGCAGATTTTGGGTTGTCTCTGCAACATTGTGCAACACAGCCATGAAATAAAGCCTGTTGCTCTGAATTGCAGTACAAATATTGAACATGGAAAAAAATGAAAGGAACATGTTCAGTGTTAAAAAGATGTGAGAGTCCTCACTTTGGGAAGGGGGAGCCTAGCACGGAGTTATTTTGCAAGTAAGTTCCGAGAAGTCCAGTTAGAAGTGAATCCCACACTGGGAAGAAGCAGGGCCGGCTCACTCACTAGGCGAACTAGGCAATCGCCTAGAGCGGGACGGCCCTTAGGGGCGCCAACCTGCAGCTGGCCCCGTACTCTGGGAGTTTCTTGAATATTTGTGTTTTTCATTCTTCCTAAAATGCATTTATTTTCGGGAAATGGTGGGCGCACGGGGGGGGGGGGCGCCAGAAGGGATCCTCGCCTAGGGTGCAAACTAAGCTGGGGCCGGTCCTGGGAAGAAGAAGAAAGGATGAGAACCATTGCTCGTCCCCGACGCCTACCCAGAATCCCCTCTGGCATACCTCAAGCACTTTTTTAAAAAAAGAAAAGTTTCAGATTTTGTAGAGAATATCCTGTTCTTTTCATAGGCAGTTTGCATGACGATGTGGCCATGGACAGCAACTGAACGGTTCATTTTCCTGGGGGAGGACTCTGCTTTAGCCTTTTTTTCCCCCTGTCAAACCACAGCCAACTTGGGGTGACCCCTCCCCAAGGGTTTTCAAGGCCAATGTGGGGTGACACCCCCCAGAATTTTCAAGGCAAGAGACGTTTAGAGGTGGTTTGCCACTGCCTGTCTCTGTGTAGTGACCCTGGTATTCCTTGGTGGTCTCCCATCCAAATACTAACCAGGGCCAATCCTGCTAAGCTCCCAAGACCTGACCAGATTAGGGTAGCCTGAGCCATCAGGTTCCGGGCCCTTTAGACGTAGCACAACCCAAAGTGTTCAGATTGTCAGTGCATTAGCTGGGGGGGAAATGTGTGTGCCACCATAGCTTCAGTTAATACTGCACATTTTGGGTTTTGTAACATTGTTTTGGATCTGTGTGATAAAGTTGTAAAGCAGTATCATTTATAATTACTACATTTTACCCAAAAAGAGTCTTTTTCTAGAGGTGAAAGCAGAAACCCTCCTAGCTCTACTAGTGGACCAGAATTCTGATGCTTCTTCTAAACTGATGTAAAATCTCATTTTTGTGCCTTTTTTGCCTAGAATGCCTGAGCAGTTTTCTCAATCAATATTAAAAGGATGTTGTAATTACACATGTCTCTGAATTGAATGAAAGAACCACATTGGCCCTTTTTAAAAAACTGCCTTTTTATTCTATTATGTATTATCAGTATTCACAAGTAGCATTGAGACTTAATGGTGTTTTTAGGATAACTTACGAATAGTTATTTTACAGCATAAATGAACATTGTAATTCCAAAACTTGACATACATGGTAATTCTAATTTTTAAAAAAGTATGTTATTTCTCTTCACCCAAGATTTTACTAATGAACTTCACAGTTATCTCATGGATTTTATCTGCTGGAAAATATTCTAGTTGTCATGTTTGCTTTGAGATGTACTTCTGTAATTTAACCAAAGGGGGGGGGGGAGAAAGACTGGGATAAAACACATTAATTTGAAACAGCTCTGCTAGCAGCAAGACTGGGGCTGTATGACAACGTAAAAGAAGGTGGTCTCCATTAAAGAGTCAACCCGATTTGATGTCCAGAATGCACTGTGAGTGGTCTGTACAGCAGTTCTTAAATGTTGCCTCCTGATGGTATATAAGCCACAGCCCTTCAACTGGAATTGCAAAACTTGAGAAAGGGTGGGTTGAATTTCTGAGAATTACCAGCCCTTTCCAGCAACAGTGTGGATGAATTAGTCTGCTCTGGAGGGAGCAAAAATCCGTCAACATTTTTTCTAACCATCACTTTGCCTTTTCATCCCCACTGCAATCCAGAAAAGGGAAGGGAATCAGGCTCAGGATTTCTTTAGCAAAGACTTGTAATTTTCGTTCTTTTATAAAGACAGGCTGTTACTGGTACGTGTGTGTGAGAGAGAGAGCGAACGAGCCCTTCAACAGTAAAAACAAACAAGTGAAGACCCTGAAATTTCTCCCCATCTTTTATTCCCCCTAGGACTTTCTTCAAGGTGATTGTACCAAAGCGAAGCAGAAACTCAAGTGGAAACCAAGAGTCACTTTTGACGTAAGCTCTCCTTGTTGCTTTCTCCCTATTCGGGAAAAAAAAAAAGGAACTGAAGCACTACAAACTGTTTACAGCAAAGACAGAATTACACCTTAGTGCAAGTGTGTGAAGTCTTAAAATTAATTTTTCAAAATCCAGGAACTCCTGTATAGTGAAGATATCCCAAGCATTCTGCTCTAAGTGCCAGACATTTTTTGCCCTGTTTTAAGGCTAAGCTGTCCAAGGATTACAGCTAGCTGCAGGAATCAAAATTTTAGGACATAAATAAGCATGTTTTAAGCATGAGTCCGTTTGCGGGGAGGGCGGGGTAAAAATGCAAATAAATAAATAAATAATAAATAATGTTTTATGAAGCCCAACAGATTGCCCAACTTGTCCACATGTAAACCTGTTTCAGATCGCATCCTTCCACCCCACCCTGAACATATTTACACAAAAGTAAGACACATTGATTTAAATGGTAAAGGTAAAGGTTTCCCTTGCTTGAAAGCCAGTAAAATCCATCTCTGGGGGCGGTGCTCATCTCCGTTTCCAAGCCGACGAGCCCCTGCTGTCCGAAGATGTTTCCGTGGTCATGTGGCCGGCATGACTAAACGCCAAGGTGCATGGAAAACTGTTACCTTCCCACTGAAGCGGTACCTATTTATCCACTTGCAATTTCTTGCTTCCGAATTGCTAGGTTGGCAGGAGCTGGGGTCAGAGATGGGGAGCTCACTCCGTCATGCGGCACACTCGGGTCTCGAACTGCCGAACTACAGACCTTCCGGTCTGCAGCTCAGCGTCTTAACCTCTGAGCCACCACGGCCCCATTTTAATGGTAATCATTTCTAAATAAGTACAGACAGAACTCAAGAGAGTTTTAAGCAATCCGCAGTGCGCTCCCAATTCCGCCCACCCATCACCACGGCAATTCACAGACTGAGAGAAGGTAGATCCAGGTGGGCAGCCACGTTGGTCTGAAGCAACAGAACGCATTTTGAGTCTAGTGGCACTCTTAAAGGTACCACTGGACTCAAAATTTGTTCTGTCTGAGAGAAGGTCCTGCAGTATTCGAAGAAGAAAATGCTGCAGTTTGTGTACTGGGAGGATGCAGTCTGCCAGACAAAAGAAACACAAGCACAGTCTACACAAATTTGTGCCCCCAGTGGGGTGTGTGTGTGTTTTTACTGATTCTTCCCACTGCAACCCCACACACACACACACACACACCATGCCTAGCATTGTCCCTGGGGGTCCGCTGGTGCTGTGGATTCCAGAGGGAGGCGGGAGCTCTGCTCAGGGTTTGTTGGAAACGATGCACCGTTCTTAGGAGGAAAAGAAAACAAACGCAAAGCCAAATATGCCTTCGTGGCACCAGAAACAGCCAAATGTTTCCCTGCGGGAGGCAAAAAACCCAACTAGCAGCCTCATAATGGTAGCCTATGAAATGCGTCTAAATAACTGGCAATTTGCTGCCCTGCAAGCATACCCAAAAGTCGGCTACCTGAGGCAGCAGGGCAGCTCACCTGCGTGTCCAAGAGCAGATTCAGTCCCGCAGGGCACAATGACACTGTCTGTGCAAAAAAAAAAAATGACCTCAAGGAGTGTTTTCTCATATCAGAGCAACAGGATATCCACTCCTGTGAAGGTTGTCAAATTTGTTCTGTCTGAGAGAAGGTCCTGCAGTATTCGAAGAAGAAAATGCTGCAGTTTGTGTACTGGGAGGATGCAGTCTGCCAGACAAAAGAAACACAAGCACAGTCTACACAAATTTGTGCCCCCAGTGGGGTGTGTGTGTGTTTTTACTGATTCTTCCCACTGCAACCCCACACACACACACACACACACCATGCCTAGCATTGTCCCTGGGGGTCCGCTGGTGCTGTGGATTCCAGAGGGAGCCGGGAGCTCTGCTCAGGGTTTGTTGGAAACGATGCACCGCTCTTAGGAGGAAAAGAAAACAAACGCAAAGCCAAATATGCCTTCGTGGCACCAGAAACAGCCAAACGTTTCCCTGCGGGAGGCAAAAAACCCAACTAGCAGCCTCATAATGGTAGCCTATGAAATGCGTCTAAATAACTGGCAATTTGCTGCCCTGCAAGCATACCCAAAAGTCAGCTACCTGAGGCGGCAGGGCAGCTCACCTGCGTGTCCAAGGGCAGATTCAGTCCCGCAGGGCACAATGACACTGTCTGTGCAAAAAAAAAAAATGACCTCAAGGAGTGTTTTACATCAGCACGCCAACAGGATGGAAATGGACAGGGGGATGTTGTAAGTGGAGCAAGCCGAACTCATGTCCTCCCCACCCCCCTTTCTGTCTGGCAGGAGCTGGTCAAGGAGATGGTGAACGCAGACGTGGAACTTATGAGGACCAACCCCAATGCCTGAGTCTTCTCCGACACCTCTCGTAGAAAGTCGTGACTTCAGTGCCAGTGACAAGGCCGGGTTCTACATTTCCAAGATGCCGCTGACCAGCTGGGGGTGACAATGGGTATTAATGGGTATCAGATGATTTGCAGCTATTTCACTTTCCTGTGTGCGACAGATCAATTATCTCCCCCCCCCAATCTAAACCATGCATTGACTTTACACTCCTTGTAGAGGTAGACTGAAGCAATGGTGTGTGTTTTTTCTCCTGATCAAAAAAGAAATTCTGAAATATGCAGCCAGATGCTAGCCGGCTACTCCAGTCCATTTTCTTCTTATATTAAAAATAACTTTCCATAAACTAGACTCTACTCTTGGTTTCTTTTTTAAATGCTCCCTCTGTTCTGCTTGCGTGGGCCAGAGAATTACGCTGACTTTCCAAAATTAAGGTACCGTATTTTTCAGACCATAAGACGCACCTGACCATAAGACGCACCTAGTTTTTAGAGGAGGAAAACAGGGGAAAAAATATTCTGAACCCTGGGGCTGTCATTCCAGTTCCTGAACGCTCCTGGCCCTGTCATTCCGGTTCCTGAACACTCCTGGCGCTGGACAGCAAGTCACTGTTAAATTGTTCAGTGGGATCACGTTAAATCCTGAACTTCTAAACGTGTCTCTGATTTAATATTCAACTAGACAATCAGGAAATCTAGAAATCATACGTGATCTCCATTTGGATGGCCTTCTGTTTCACACGTGACTTTCCTTGTGGGGAAAAGAATAGAACAGGAATCATTCCATTCAGTGGAACTTGACTGAAATTCATGCATTTAGGACAGACGCCCAAGGTGACTTCGTCCCTGAAACGTAGCAAGTATGAATAACTCCAACGTGCAATTTACAGCTACATCACCCTTTGCCCTGGCTGAATTAAGTCATCTTTCCAAAACAGAGGAAGGACGGGTTGAATTTTTCTCCTTCAGTTCTCCAGCCTGGTATATTTGTGTGCATTTCTCTCTCTCTCTCTCTCTGCGCGTGTGCGCATGGGGGGGGGGAGTGTGACAATAAGCTTCTCTGTGCTGCACCCAATTCCTGCACACAACCAAGCCATTCACCTCTCATCCTGTTTCTACTTACTATAATTAGACATCACAGAGGGAGCCTGAACCAGCCACAAAGATGGCCTAAAACAGATTTAAGAGGGAGGAAAGATCCAGTTTTCAAGGGCAAGTAAATATTGTGGAAGCCTTGGTGCCAGCATACCCAGGTTACCCAAAGGTCATATAGATCATCCTACATATATTTCTCTTCCATTTGGCTCTTCCGCCCTTCGGAACTGGAGGAGAGTTTTCTTTTGGTATTATTATCTGGATCTGGCCGTCCTGGCCATTTGGAATAGGAGATTGGTTTAAGGACGATTCCCATCGATCTTTTGGTTTTCTTTTGGTATTATTTTCTTTTGGTTTTCTTTTGGTATTATTATCTGGATCTGGCCGTCCTGGCCATTTGGAATAGGAGAATGGTTTAAGGACAATTCCCATCGATCTCATTGGGCATTACTTCTAAGTAATCCCGCAGAAAGCTGACTGTGCACTGAAAGGCTGCCACCGACTTCCTCCGCCTGGGGGCTCAGAGATTAAAGGGGGACAGGGACAGCAATCCACAGTCCTGAAAAACTGAAGACCTTAAAACAGAGGCGGATTTGAGTCCAGCTGGTTTTTCGGGTGAGGGAATCAATGGCCTTTTAAAAAACAACAACAACCCAACAGATCTTTAAGAAAGGCGCACCGGACCTTCTTAGTTTTGCTTGGGCAACTAGTCCCGACCAGTGTTCCCTCTAAGCTGAGTGCGTGTGAGCTCCGGCTCACACATTTTTTGTCTTAGCTCAGGAAGGATGGCTCCAGAGCAGACTAATTTATGCACTAGCCATATTGCTCGCTCACAGCTTTAATGCCAGTAGCTCACAAAGTAGAATCAATGTTCTTTTTTAAAAAAAAAACAACAAAACCAACCGATCTTTAAGAAAGGCGCACCGGACCTTCTTAGTTTCGCTTAGGCAACTAGTCCCGACCAGTGTTCCCTCTGAGTTCGTGTGAGCTAGCTCACAGTTTTTCAGCCTCCGGCTCACACATTTTTGTCTTAGCTCAAGAAGGAGGGCTCCAGAAGAGCAAACTAATGTATGCAGAAGCTAAATCACCTGCTGACAACTTTAATGCCAGGAGCTCACAAAGTAGAATTTTTGCTCACAAGACTCCATAGCTTAGAGGGAACATTGGTACCGACCAGTGTTCCCTCTAAGCTGAGTTAGTGTGAGCTAGCTCACAGTTTTTCAGCCTCCGGCTCACATATTTTTGTCTTAGCTCAAGAAGACGGGCTGCAGAAGAGCAAACTAATTTATGCACTAGCCATATTGCTCGCTCACAGCTTTCATGCCAGTGGCTCACAAAGTAGAATTTCCGCTCACAAGACTCCACCGCTTAGAGGGAACATTGCAGTCCCGACCTGTACGTAGGGAATCGCGGGGCTGGCGAAGGGGAGGAGGGAAAGGGGCAAGAGCGAAGGAACCAGCCGAGCCTGGGAGCGCCGGGGAAGGCGCGAGGAGCGCGGCAGCAAAGTGGCGTTCCGGGAGGCGCGCGAGCCCAAGAAAGAGGGCTCTTTGTGTGGCTGGCGGGCGGCGCGCTGGGCAGGAAGGGCGTGCGCCGCCAGAGGAGGAGGAGGAGGCGGCGAGCCAAGGCTTGGGGCCGGGCAGCTGCTGCTTTTGCAAGGGGCAGCACAGCAGCTGGAGCTGGACGGGCCCGGGCGGCAGGCAGCCTCCCAAATGGAACCAGATGCTTCCTCCTCCTCCGCCTCCTCCTCCCGGGCCGGCCTGGCCGAGGAGGCGGCGAGCCAAGGCTTGGGGCCGGGCAGCTGCTGCTTTTGCAAGGGGCAGCGCGGCCGCTGGAGCTGGACGGGCCCGGGCGGCAGGCAGCTCCCAATTGGGACCAGATGCTTCCTCCTCCTCCTCCTCGGCCTGGCCAAAGCGGCAGCTCCGGGGCGGGCCGAGCGCCGCGGCGGCTCCCTGCAGGTGCAAGGCAGGGGGGCAGTCGGAGAACAAGAGGGGCTCTTGTCTGGCTCGGGCGGGGCGGGGCCGGCGGCCGCCGAGGGGCGGGGCGCGCAGGGGGAGAGCCACGGCCTGGACTACAACTCCCGTCAGGCTCCGCGGAGCAGCGCCCGCCCCTCCCCGGCGGCTCCCCAGCCAACTGCGCGCGCGCAGGGAGGAGGCGGCTCCATGCCCCGGAGAGGCACGCGGGAGAGGAGGGGCCTGCCCGTGGCGGCGCCGGCCCCAGCACTGCCACCCCGGGCAGGCCTCCCGCTCGCCTTCCCCACGCCGCCTGCAAAGCCGGCTTCCGAGGAGGAGGAGGCGGCGGAGGGAGCCTGGCCATTGCCCGACAGCCCCTTCTTGGCTCGTTTGCGCCTTTCTTCCTTCCCTCCCTCCCTCTCCGGCCCATGGAGCTAAACAAACCCGGGCCGGGACCAGTGTTCCCTCTAAGCTGAGTGAGTGTGAGCTAGCTCACAGTTTTTTAGCCTCCGGCTCACATATTTATGAATGCTGTAACTATATCAAGTCCATGTACTCAATGTAACTTGATAGCTTGATAGGAGTCCACATAGTCATAACCAGTGTTCCCTCTAAGCTGAGTTAGTGTGAGCCAGCTCACAGTTTTTTAGCCTCCGGCTCACCCATTTTTGTCTTAGCTCACGAAGGATGGGGCTCCAGAGCACACTAATCTATGCAGCAGCCAAATGGCTCGCTCACAACTTTAATGCCAGGAGCTCACAAGGACACGTTTTTGTCTTCGCTCAGGAAGGAGGGCTCCAGAGCCAACTAATCTATGCAGTAGCCAAATCGCTCGCTCACAGCTTTAATGCCAGGAGCTCACAAAGCGGAATTTTTGCTCACAAGACTCCACAGCTTAGAGGGAGCATTGGCCGGGACTCTACCGCCCGAAGAACCGCCTCTCCCCGGCTAGGCAGGTAGGTAGGCTGCCCGTGGCCCAGAAAAATCCGCCCTCCTCCGCCGGCCCCCGGGATTTCTTCCCCACTGTCACGCCGGCTCTTTGGGACACGAAACACGCCGGGTAAAGGGGAGCCTT